GCCTTCCCCTAACCGGGGGGTTTGGGGGGCTCTAGGCACGGCACTGTATATATAAGTATGATAAAAACAAGATTTGTATAAGATTGAAGAAAATAATTAATTGTTTGTAGTTATAGAAAACTCGCAGAAGACTGGGGTCAGTCTTGTCATCGAATAGCTTCTAGACGTGTAAAACATATTTTTCAGTTGCATACGTGGTAAATATGTATGTGGTACATATATGACTTAAAATTATTAATGTTACTATTCCTTTTTAGTATTATTTATACTTTTTCCTTTGAAAAGTTACATTTTTTGTTTTATTAGGGTTGTTTTATATTATTTTTATTTTTAAACTTTAAATTTGAGTTTAAAAAAACTCCTTGTAGTTGTTTACCTTGAATATTGTAGATTTTAACTTTGTTTTCAGGGACTGTTCGTTGTTTAAATTTACTTGCAATTCGTTTCTAGAAATTATTTTGTTAAATAAATAGAGACCACGATGTTTTACTGAAAATTTTGAGAATTTAGTTTTTTCAAAGGGTATCTTAAAGTTTCCCGTTGCTCTTGTATTGTATTTGTTTACGTTGTTTTCAAAAAAGTGTGCTGTCAAATGTTCTGGAATCAGACTTAGTTTATATTTAAACATAAAAAGTATATTTTGATAAATATTAATTTGAAAAATATTTAAAGCGTTCATTTGCTCCAGTAGGGGCTGAGCATGAGTAAGTTTGTTTTTGTTGAACACTAGTCTTGAAGCGTGCTTTTGATGCAGATAAAGCGGTTTTAATTTAGTTATTTGGGTACTGCCCCATGCTATATTAGCATATATAAGATAGCTATGTATGAATGAAAAATATATTTTTCATTCATACATAGCTATCTTATATATGCCAATATAGCATGGGGCAGTACCCAAATAACTAAATTAAAACCGCTTTATCTGCATATATATATTTATAAGGCAAGATCTTTCTTGACACAAAAAAGTCTAATACTCGTTTATTAATAAACAAGTATTAGACTTTTTTGTGTCAAGAAAGATCTTGCCTTATAAAGTAAACCTATGTTTTTTGATATTTTTTTATTTATATAGTTGATGTGGGGCTTCCAAGAGATGTGTTCATCAATTAGAACACCTAAAAACTTTGTATTTTGCACTTTCGATGATTAAAGTTTCTATATTAATTGTTGGTAGTTTAAGGGGAAGTTTTTTAATTTGTTGAGTAGAGTGGAATAGAATATATTTAGTTTTATCTATATTGAGTGATAGTTTGTTTGATTTAAATCATATATTAATTTTTTTTAGTTCATTATTTGTTTTTTTAAATAAGTCTTCGATAGTCTTTGATTAGTAAAATAAGTTTGTATCATCGGCAAACATTAAAGTTTTGAAAATATTAAAGGCATTTGGGAGATCGTTTATGTAAATAAGAAACAAAAGAGGAGCAAGAATGGACCCTTGGGGTACACCACATTTTGTTTTCAGTAAATTCGAGTTGCTTTTTTTTATCTATAATAACACACTGGTGTCTGTTATTAAGGTAATTTTTAAACCGAAAATCTCATGGTTTGACAAATCAATAAAGATTCCTAACGTGAATTTTTTTTGTTTAAATGATTTACTAATCCTATTTGAAAGATCAAGGATTGCATGCTCTGTTGCGTATCGCTTTTGGAAACCGTATTGACCTTTATTAATAATTTTATTAGTTTTTAAATATTTATTTAATTTATTACATATATATATATGTAATAAATTAAATAATTTATTACATATATATATTTTATTTTATATATATATATATATAAATATATTTATATATATATATATATATATATATATATATATATATATAAATATATATATATATATATATATATATATATATATATATATATATATATATATATATATATATATATATATATATATATATATATATATATATATATATATATATATATATGTTTTAAATAAATATTTTTACTTTTTAAGGTTAGATCCTTATGATCTTGTTTCGGAAACCTTGCATTATATTGTTTGTACGCTGAATTGTATTATTTGTGTAATTGTATTACGACTTATCGCTATTTTATTGCATTATCAAAAACGTGATTTTTAAAAAATATTAATTTTAATTAAAAATATTAACCATCAAATATTATAATGGATCACAAATAACATTGTAAACAGAAAGAAAAGAAGAAAAAAAAATTTAAGCAAAAATAACTTTAACTTTTACAACTCTAATAAATAATCTTTTGTACAGATCCATGGAAACTAAATTCTTTTTTATAATGAACTAATAACGAATATAACTTTTGCAAGTTAATAATAACAAATATAACTATGCGAGAACAAGCAAATTATGGAAAAAAAATCCTTACAACAATAATTGTTGGAAGGTTTTTTTCCATAATTTGCATGTTTTTATTATTAAAATATAATTTTTTTTTTTACTTTTAAATTTTGTTATAAAAAAGACCTTTGTAAACGATCAAAAGTTACTTAGGTCAAAAAGTTAAAAAGAAATACTTAAAAATTTCTAAAGAAGACTCTACTCATGATTTCATCTTCCTATAACAACAACAACAACAACAACAACAACAACAACAACAACAACAACAACAACAACAACAACAACAACAACAACAACAACAACAACAACAACAACAACAACAACAACAACAACAACAACAACAACAACAACAACAACAACAACAACAACAACAACAACAACAACAACAACAACAACAGCAACAACAAGCTATTTATTTTCCATTTTAAAATTATTTTTACAATAATAAGGTAAATAATAATAACAATAATAATTATAAAATAATAAGCAATATTAATAATTTATTACAATAATAACAAAAAAAATATATATATAATAATAATAATTACTATAATATAATAATAAGTAAAATGATATGTAATTTCTTATTATAATAAGTTAATGATTAGTATGGATGGTGTCACTCATACAGAAGTCTGATCAAAGGAGTGAAACCATTTTTCAAAATAATATGACTAGTAATAAACATATAGACATAAAAAATAGACACACATAAAGTAAACTTTTTAAAAATCATTTATGTAGGTAATAATAAAAGAGAAAAGAAAAAAATAAAAAAAAAATAAGGATAATTATTTTAGCAATAGAAAAAAATTTTAACAAAATATTTTTCAGAATTTTTTTAAATTGATTTCGATTAAGATTAAGAAAAGATGACAAAGGAGTTTGGAGTTGGAGTTTATTGAACTCATTCACTATGCACACAAGACTCTTGTTCCATTCACAGATGCACCGATATACAACAGAATTCTTCAGTCGCGGGGTAAAGCATAAGTGGCGATGACGTTTGTCTGACGGGATAAACTAGTTATAAATGCTGATCCTCATCGAAACGCCAGTAATAATAGACGCGACTCTGAGGAGATGTTTATTACTTATCACTACACTAATTATGTTTACACATTAGCATTAATGTTTTTTTTCCATTATTAGTCCTTTCATTGTCGTTAGCATATTTTTAATTTGTTGAATAGTTTTTTGTTTTACAAATTTTTGACTGGTTATGTATTTCTTGTATTTTAGTTCATATTGGTAATTATAAAACAATTTTTTTTTTTTTTTTTTTTTTTTCAATTTTTTGTTTATATATATATATATATATATATATATATATATATATATATATATATATATATATATATATATATATATATATATATATATATATATATATTTTTTATTATTATTTGTTATTATTTGTTTTTAATTTTTTTTAATTTTTTATATTGTTATTATGGTTGAGTACTGTTTTGGTTGTATAGCTTGTCTTATTTATTTTTAAATATTCCTCTATTAATCTTTATTTTTGTCTTGACAACTGTCAAAATATGCTTTGTCTAATAAATAATTCTCCTTTATTCTAATGTACTTCATTTCTTCCCTCGGGCGTTCACTGCTCGTGTTTGACCATTCGGCGAATTTTATATGCCAAAGTTTTTAAATAATGAACACAAGGCTCTTGTTCCATTCACAGATGTACTGATACACAACATAATTCTTACTATACCTTTGAGTTTTATATGATGGTACAATGAGTTTTCCATTATTTATATTTCGCGTAGAGTTTGTATGAATTGGTCTACTTTCTATAAAAAAGTTTGCGATAGAAGAGGGTATATTTTTATTTAGAGAGTTAAAAACAAAAAGAAGATTAGCAAGCTTTACTATCAAATGAAAGGTTGGAATTTTAAGTTTTTTAAAAGAATCTGATGTATCTGATTTGAATGGTTAAAAGTTTATTATTCTAATGGATTGGCGTTGAGACGACATTAGTTTGTTAATATGATAGTTGCCTTTTTGACCCCAAACATGACAACAATAACTAAGATGAGATGAAAATAATGCATAGTAAATATTTAAAAGATTAACTTTATCAACATAATGTCGAATTACTGAAAGCATACCATTTGCGCGATTAAGTTTCTTGCGATATGGAAGTTCCACGAAAGATTGAAATCAATGAACACACCAAGATATTTAATAACTCTCGAGGGATATAGTTGTTTATTATTTATTTTGATTTTAATTTCAACAGTTTTTTCTATTGTTGTTGCAGTTTTTTCTAGGAGATGAAAAAAAAATTAGTTCAGTCTTTTCGGCGTTAAGACATATTAGGTTGGGATTTAACCAATGAACTATACCTTTAAGATTCGAATTTATATTTTTAGATTGAGAATAGTATGATTTGTTGACATGCAAGAGATTGGTATCAAATGCAAATAGATGAACCGACGAGAAGTGAACAGAATTTATTAGATCATTAATGTAAATTAAAAACAAAAGAGGACCAAGAATGGAACCTTGAGGAACTCCACACGTAACAGATTTGTTACTAGAAGTATAACCATTAATACTTACATATTGTTTCCGATCCAAAAGATAAGATCGAAACCAATCACTTACAACTCCACGAATTCCATAATGTTCTAATTTAGAAATCTAATTGCTATGATCAACGGTATCAAAAGCTCTTTGTAAATCGACAAAAACACCACAAGCAAAATGACCAGTATCAAGAGCTTTTCTAATTCTTTCAGTTATACTTATCAGTTCGTGGCAGGTAGAGTGGTTTGATCGAAAACCAAATTGAAACTCATTTAAACAGTTAAAAGAGTTTAGAAAAGAGTACATTCTAGAACACATTAGGTTTTCAAGAAGCTTACTAATGTTAGATAACTAATGTATGTTAATAATAATGTTAGATACTAATGTAAGATAAAAGAGAAATAGGTCTATAGTTAGTACATTAAAGTTTAGAACCGTTTTTGAAAATTGGAATAATACAAGACAATTTTAAAACATCAGGAAAAGTTCCATTCATGAATGAGATATTAAATAGTTTAGAATTATGTAAGTTATTTAAGATACTTTTGATAGTTTACGTAAGACGAATGAATATTGGATTTAAGTTTATAAGCAACATTTGTAAAAAAAGTGTTAAATTTTTCAGAGTCGGTTTGGTTAAATATCTATCATTATCTTGTAAACAGTTGGGAGATGAGCTGTTGTAATTTTTGACATTTGTTAGATTATTAATGCCTTTCCAAATTTTGCAAAGATTTTTTGCATTATCTGAAAAGAAATTTTTTAAATGGATCACGCTTTAATAAGTCATATAACTAACAAAAGTTGTAAATAGCTTTAAATTGAAAAAAATATATATTTAAATTTTTACACAAACTCTTGTTTTAATAAGTACATGATTTAATAAATGAGTTAATAAATGATAATAAATTCCAAAAACTATATTCATGTAATTTTTTACCTTTGAGGTTGAAAGTGAAAGCCTGCACCTCAGTATCTTGGCTAATTAGTATATATTTATAACCTATAACATATATAACATATTTCATTAACTTGATTCTTGTTTCATTTAAATCTAATATGTTGTTTTTATTTGTTTCTGATAATTTTATTTATTAAAAGTTTTAACCTGATAGTATTTATATTTAAAATTGTTTCATTGTTTTCTTTTTTTTCATTTTTGGTTAAAGTTAAAGTATTTACTGTATTAGGCATCCTAAATTTTTTTAACTATTTAAAATTTAAGTAACGTTTAAAATTAGACTATTCTTAGAGGAAGGTAATTTTTTGAAGAGGAAGGAATCTTTTGGTGGAATGGTACCTTAATCAGAGGAAGGTAATCTTTTGGTGTTGGTTGGTTGTTGCCTGTTGCATGTCGCATGTTAGTTGGTGGTAAAATCAGAGGAAGGTAATCTTTTGGTGGAATGGTACCTTACTTTGATGTAACAACATTTAATCTCTACCATCTACAACAGAAAATAAATAAATTAGAACTAATAATGTGTAATTGAAAAATGATGAAAAAAGAGCTATGTTGTTGCCTAAAACTGGAGAGCAAATTTTTTTGCACCAAAACATTTCTAAACTTCTAGAAATACATACTATGCGGTAGTGGTGTAGTGGTAGAGCGCTCGCTTCATAAACGAGTGGTTCCGAGTTCGATCCCCACCACGTCCCTGGTAGTACCGCGCTCAACTTGTTTCTCCGCGCAGCGGCCTTGTTCGTCAAGGTTCGTGTTTCGAAGTTATAGAGTTGAGAGAGGGTTATAACCACAAATAAGTAGCCTCCTCGTCTGTAGTGGCCTTCTCGGCCTTGAGGAGGTGATCTAAAATTAAAAAAAAAAAAAAAAAAAAAATTGATTAGTGGAAATAAAATTACATTTTGTTCGTTAAGAAATTTCTCAAAATGAATTTCTCAAAAATCAAATTTCTCAAAAGTCGTCACGCTATGTAATAAAATTGTGTTCGTTAACAAATTTGCGGTTTTACATAGGTTTACCTAAAGTTCTTGATTGCTCTTGTACATAGTCTGTGTTACATGTATAAAATAAAGGTAAAAATTAGTATATATCGGCCGGAATGGAACTCTGGTACTTCCCTATTTAATACATAGCGTGGCGACTTTTATTTTAAAAATAAATTTTTATGATAAAAAAGCATTTTTTTATGATGAGTAAACAATATTGATAAAGCGTTTTTTTTAATCTTGTATTATCTTTTCTTTCATATTTAATACATAGCGTTAGATATGGAAAGAATAAATAATCAAACGAGAAGGTAGGCTAATTTTAAAAATTATACAGTTGGTAATCAAAAATAAATGAGATGGTGGAAAAATATTCGATTGCGTACATTACATTTTGCAACATTGGATTAGTTTTGAATGGAATTGGCTTTTTTGTTTTGCTTAAGTTTAAAAATGGTTTTGGTTTTACGCAGTATTGTATTCTAATTCAACTCTGCTTCATTGAAATGTGCTTGAGCGTAAATCTGGAAATTCGCGAGTGGTTTTTTGTCTTTGAATTAGATGGAAACAATCTTGGTATTCTTATAATAAGAAGAATCTGTAGAACAGGATTTTATTATATAACATTTTGGTTGGTACTCGATAGGTATTTAAATATAAAGTATGGTAAAAAATACTCAATTTATTTTTGCAAAAGAAAAATCGTAATATTATCGGTATTGATATGGAGTGTTGCAGGATTATGTGCAAGCCTAATTGCAGTTTATATATCTAGTTATAATATTCTAATTTATGCATGTTATGATCTTATCATTATTATTTTCTCCATTTTTGTCTATTCATATGCTTTATTACTATTTCAAAGGCGGAAAAAACTAGTTCGTTCGAATCAGCATGGCAAAAGTGTATTTAAAGGAACGTTACTTTCAGGTTTAATATTAGGTGTATTTGTTTTGTTATTTGTTATACCTGACATATTAGAGGCGCTAATATTTTTAAAAAAAGATATTTTTGCTAATTCACAGTTAGATCTCTATATGCGTTTAAGTTATCCAATAGCTTTTTGGCCTGATGCTTTGATATATATATTCGCTTCTCCCCGAATCAGATTAGCATTAAAAAATAGGGGAAGATCCTTTCATTCAAGTTTTAGGTCCACGACTCATGAATTATACTTAATAGCATAGCATCTCTAATGTATATTATATTTCTCTAATGTATAGAGTTTTGATTGTGATTTGATTGCTCAGTCAACATCAAAAACTCAGTTGTTTTTTTTGTTTTTTTTTTGACGAAATAATTGAGATAGCACGAGTATAAGATAGATACTTTTATGTTTATTGTATTTAATTTATGTTTATTGTATTTATTATATGTCGAATTTTAGATAATATTACTCTAATGATTATAATTTTAATAAGAAATGTAAATATCAAAAAAAAAAAAAAGAAATGTATAAATCAAAAAATATATAAGTGGTTGTTTTAAATTTTGTTTTAGTAATAAAAATGGTTTACAAAAGTTAAGAGTTGGTTTTCCGAAGAAATTGATTTGCCAGAACAAAAGATATGTTTTGTTAATAGAAAAGGTTGGGTTCCAAGAAATCAGCAATTTGTGTTGACTATTTAAATGACACATTTGTTAACTATGGAAAAAGACTTGAAATGAAATCTTTTCAAAATCTTTATGCTCTATTACTACATAGATATATACACTATATATCATATTTCTTAGCTTGAATGGTTTTGCAATGCTCATAGTTGCAAATTAACAAACAATAGACCAGACACTGAACGCACGTTGGTACAACGTTAAACAATGTCGGTTACCAACGTTGTTTTTATATCACTTTGGTTCAAATGTGACGTTGTTAACAACAAATATCCAACGTCGAAATAAAATATTACTTAAAACACAAAACATTGTGTTTTAAGTAATATTTTATTTCGATTCAACCTTGTATTTATTAGATAACACAACGTTGTATTTTACGTTGGCTTAACGTTTATTTGAACTAGATTTTGTTGTTTTATTTATTCTATTTAATATGTAATTTTATATATATATATATATATATATATATATATATATATATATATATATATATATATATATATATATATATATATATATATATGTACATGCATATATACATACATATATACATATATATACGTACATATATATATATATATATATATATATATATATATATATATATACATATATATATATATATATATATATATATATATATATATATATATATATATATATATATATATATATATATATATATATATATATATATATATATATATATATATATATATATATATATGTATACATATATATGTATACATATATATAAATAAATTTACAACGTTGGGTCTTATATATTGGATCAACGTTTAAAAACAAGACCATATATCAAGTTGATGTTAAAATTAGCATTTGCTAGGTAGCGTCATTTTATCGTGCTTGCCCTTTCTTACTCAGGACTCTATTCCTTATCTCTTTAAATCTCAAAATCATCCTTGTACGGAATACTGTTGCCATATCTGGAGCAGATCTTCTAATGATGCCCTTTCTCTTTTAGACAAGGTGCAAAAACGCATTCTAAACATAGTTGGACCTACTCTTGCAGCAAACCTCAAACCATTATCACGACGTCGTAATGTTGCTTCTCTTTTTTTTTCACTAAATACTATGCACTACCCTAAAGAGCTACAGCCCCTTGTGTCGTCTACTAAAATTAATTTTCGTGTTATTTGTCATTTATTAAGTCTCATCATTTTACTGTGAGTGTTCCTAATTGCTCTAAAAATTTTTGTTCATCTAATTTTTTTTCCTCGAACATCAGTTCTTTGGAATTTGTTTTCTTCATCTTTTTTTCTGATTCATTTAATTGGCGATCTTTTAAGCCGTCTATTAATTGTTATCTTGCTCTATAAACTTCGTTTTATATCTTCCAGTAAATTCCAACTCAAATAGTGGTTGCTTTTAGCCTTATTAGAAGTGAAGGTGTTAGAAAAAAAAACTATTTTCTTCAAGGCAGACCTCCATATTTTGTACTGAATAGATAATTGATTCAGTTAAATATTATCCACTAATTTTACGTCACTGTCGTATAATTTATTTTTGAACAACTACTCTTACTATTTTTAATTTACAAAACTTAAAAGCATTTCAATATTAAAGAAGTAAATTTTTTTGTAAAGATTCAGAAAGTTATCTCTATAAAAATGTAGTTTATTTTCATAATTTTTATGACGTCAATTTTATTTTTTTAAAGATAAACTTAATGTTTCTGCTGGTTACATAGTATGAGATTTGCTTCATAAAGTTTATGAAACAGGTTAATTATGAAATAAGAGTTAAAGAAAATTTGGAAATTTAGTTATCAG